CCGGTAGAAATTGCCGGGATTTGCGTTTTTTCCCCCTTAATGTCTGACCAATGGTTGAACAGCATTTCCGTGCACATGACATGTGTTTAAAGTTTATAGTCCGTTTGAGTTTTGCCCGTGTGAACGCAAACCGAACCTTGTGAAAAATGAAACAATGTAACAATCTGTGGTCTGGTACGCACCAGAGAGCGGATTATTAGGTCTGAATGCACCACTTAGTATCGTATACCTGTGTTTAGTCTAGAAAAAGGTAAATGTGTGCATTTTATTATAAAGTTGTGTATATTTACAGACTGTTGCAAAAACTAAGAAGCTTATAAAAATAACAATTAAAGATGTTTTGATTTTTATTCCAGTTATTAATTTAAATTGGTTGTCGAGAAGCTGATTTGAAACCGTTGTTACATACAGTTACGGCATTTCCTGTTTCTGCCGGAGAGAGGGGGATTTTGTCCCAAAGCTTGCCGCTGTATTTACTCCCTCCATCTGACAGGAGGGAGCCTCGTTGAGCTGCGAGTGTCACTCCACGGAGTTCACTCCGTCACGGAGGGGTAGTGTGTAGGGGTAGGGTGTAGAGCGTGGTTTGGGATTGGGCCTACGAGTTTGAAAAGTAGAAGCAAATCTGGAGGTGTATTGCTGTTGAGTACGGTGGCCGACAGGTGCAAAACCGCTACAACGGCCCGAAACACTTCCATTAGCAGAAACGCTCTGCAGTTTCTAAAATGATTAAAATATAAAAACACAAATGTGCCAAAACACACGCAAATAAAGAAACATCTTGTATTTCCAGTGTTTCATTTATGCAGTGCTTTTACACACTGCACATTGTTGTCAAGTTGGTGAAGATGTTTCTTTATTTGCATGTGTTTTGGCAAATTTGGGTTTTTATATTTGCATCGTTTTTGAAAGTGCAGTGCGTTTCTCCTACTGGAAATGTTATGGACCATTGTAGCGCGTTTGCATCTTTCGGCCACCGTAGCCTAAAGTTAAAAATGATTACCGGTATAAATATCTGGAAATCTTAAACTAAGAAATTGGAGACAGAAGCTTCTGAGATGGATTTGCAGCTGTTTTTCATCTCTTTGTAGTTGTTTTATGTGTCTTTATCGTAATGTTGTGTCTTTTTGTGGTTGTTTTCCCTGCTGTGAGTGTCTTTGAGGTCAATTGATGTCCCTTTCTAGCTGGTTTTAATATCTCTTTTCAGTTGTGTAACCCTAGTATAGTCATTTTGATTCTCTTTTTCTCATTCTGCAGCTTTTCGTATCCTAGCTAGTCTCTCTGATTCTCTTTGCAACGGATTTTCATCTCTTTGTTGTTGTTTTGGTCGTTTTTATAGTCGAATTGTGTCTCTTTGTTGCCGTTTCATATTTCTTTTTGGACATTTTAAGTGTCTTTCTTGTTGGTCCATGTCTATTTGATGGACATTTTGTATGATGGTTCTCTGAGCCTGTGCCTTGTCTGTTCAGTGATCTATACATGAATCTGACGTTCTTACTGGATAGTCATGTTGCTGTTGAATGAGATATAAGATGAAAAACGATGAACACAAAATGAAAGACATGAATGGATGATTACCAGAAAACAGAAGCAGACATAGAAAGGACGTAGCTAATCATCTGAAAGAAAGGTAACTATGTTTCTGATCCTATGTGACGCCTTCAATGTCAAGACAGAACCTTGACCAAAGACACAAAGAAAATCAATCTTTATTCTGTCTGCAGCACAATGACTGTGTTAAAATAGAAATCGTCTATTTATATCGAGGACCCATGGCAGAGCCGCTCTCGGATGTCATGGAAAGTCCTTGTGAGGGCACCACAGAGGAGACAATGGTATAAACTCTTAAAAACCTCTTGGAAATATACAAACCTGAGGGGACACGCAGAAGTCCATTTTTAGTACAAATCATCTATAAGTGGGAGCTTTAATTCTCACCAGACCAAGGGCACATTTGAGCTGAGCAGTCAGAACGTGCTGCAGCAAATCCTGAGGACACAGCAGATGACTGAAACCTCAGGTGGAACACGTGTTTTTATGGATTTTTTTGCCATAGTATAGGAGACTTGATGTGTTGAACAAATCATATTCTACTTACAAAAAACAACTGGCAGGAGCAAGAATCATTCTGTACAAAAATACATCAAACATGTTCAAACTTTAAGATATATATTTTGCTATTTGAAACTGCTGTAATTTATATTTTGAAGCTGCTTACTGATTCATTAGCTTGTACACGCTGCTATTAGACAAAATATTTTAATAAGATTAACATGGAGCGGCACTGAACAATATCAGACAAACAACATTGTTTGACTTTTATATCATCATTACAACACTTTTGAAGATTTTCTTATTTGGCATAGCATTCTTTGAAATGTATTAATGTGTTTAAAATGTATTCAAAACATATTTTTTGTCACTTTGACCTGTTTTCTAAAAAAATATTTTAATTGAAATATTGAAGTGCTGTTGTCAGTAGTTTTTGAATAAAACAAGCACAGACCAATACATGTTAAAACCAGAATCATATCATAACATTTCAGCTGTATGTATCATATGTGTGTTCAGATGTGAGCTCTTTTGCGAATCCTCACCGATTGAAAACATCTGCTGTAAAGAAATGCAGCATACAGTAGTTAAGTGTTAAAGCAAATATATCAGCGCTCTTACTCAAGAGACCTTTGGTTCTGTTTTTCTGATAAGCTGTTTCCTTTCCTGAACCAGAGCAGTCACAGTCCCTACCTCCATCCTCTCCAAATAGGAGTCTAGAGGTCAGAGGTCAGTTGTTCCCCTAGCTGCTTGCGATTCAGAGCTTTACTCAAGGACACTTCAGCAGCCGGGGCAGGGTTGTACCCCCCAGCTCAGCCTCGTTAATCATTTCACATCCTGCTGCTGCATAAAATACCAAGAGAAGGTTGCCAAGCTCCAAAAACAAACTCCTGAAATCAACAAAAAATAGAGAAAAATAACCCTAAACACCCTCCAGTTTTATTCAATTTAACAAACTAAAAACATCAACCGGTACATCCTGCTGATGCCTCCCTTTATATACAGATACAATATGCTCAGATGAAACACACACAGCAGTAGCATTTTACTCAGAGACTCAATGAATGTACAATTGAATGCTGTAACACAGCACCGTCACGCAATATCACAATATCTGTCGGTCACATGGTGTAAACAGTCACATGGTTTCAGTGCAGACGCCTTGGAAACACTGCTGTATAAACATTCCTGCTCTTTTGTTTGTATTGGTCTGTCTTAAAAAAGTTCAAAGATGTGTATCTAACCAGATACAGCGACATTTCACCCATCTGGAATCATTGTTGGGGCAACAGCATCTGTTAGTAGTAACATGTATAGCCTTCAAAATAAAAGCAGGTACAAGAAACAGGAAGTTGACTTTTTCAATAATGAAATGTAAAAAAAGGAAAGAAAGTATTCCCTGCAGGTGAAATGTCGCTTTGCGATACAAGAATGAAATGAAATGCATATTATGAAATATATGAAAAAAATATAACGTGGCCTGGGAAAGTAGTTGTGTGTCTGTTTGTGAATCAAAGATGTGCATTTTTGCAATCCATTTATGACAATGAAAGTAAGGTTTAGCACAGAAAATAATGGGAAATGGAATTTAAAGGGATTTATCAGTTGGTTTTTGAAGTGGTTGTATATTAGTTGTACTGTCAGCTGGTGGGAATGTTAAGAGAGTAAAGAAAATATGAAGGTATTGAGATAAACAAAGACCATTGTAACGTGATCAAAGTGACATATCTCTTTAACCTGAGTGAAAATCGAGGTCTATAAAGTTTTATAAAGCAGAAGTTTTGCAATTTTGTTCAGTATTTCTAAAAGAAAATGATCCAGATGTTAACAGTTAATTGTTTTATTAGTGACTTTAAAGCTTTTTATCCCTATTTATCTCTTCATGTTATTTGCACTAAGTGATGAAGACATCAATTACAGGAGTGAATTGAGTCAAATGTCATTTCATAAAAGAAATTGTCTGAGTCTCAAATATGTCTTTCTTAAGACTCCATTCTGTAGTGAATGCATGAAACGTTCTGCTTTCATCTGGTTCCAGCATTACGTTAACACAAAAAACAGAACATTGAAGCATCTACGGCACAAATGTATCCTTTACTTGTATAAAATGGGGACATGTATTATTCATCAGGATTTTGAAGATTGCTTTTCAAGATTTTTTTCATGAAGCATGGATCGTATTTATTTAATTTGACACAAACCACAAAGATAGAATTTGTTTTTGTTATTACAACAATGTGTGTTTTCCAATCGGTCTATTTGAGATGCGTTCAGCTGCACAGACCCCTGGTGTTGGTCTATCGTGCATTTTGTGACGAGCACAGCTACTTATGTACATTGTGTTAATGCCGTATGTTGTTCAAATCATATCATAATCTGACAAGTTTTTAAATGTGCTGATTATCCATTCATACTTCCCAAATCTTAAAAATCCTACTCAAGATCAACTTTATTCCTCTTAATAAACCTCTCTTTTCAAGCAAATACAGATGAATGTAGGGAGCTTCAGCTATTCCCTAACTGAATTTAATATATTCTCACTTGAGAAACTGATCCATTGAATACACACATAGATACATTTATATGGATTTGTATGTCATCCGTTGGAGAAGAGGCCCCTCTCCACTTATAGTTGAAGCGCTGCAGTGCGGAGGCCGCTGAATCTGCATGTTCTAAGTGTGTGAGCTGTGAAAGTGTAAAGATGCCTTGTTCCTGTACATACTGAGGAGGAGCTGAATACTGTACGTAACAACGATGCTGATTCTTCATTTTGTTAACGTGACCAATAAAAGTTCTGTTTTGTTGTTTTTAATCAAGTGTGCAAACGTGTCTTTCTCTTGAACCTTGTCTGAACTTGATTTGACATTTAAAACATGACACTGTGCTGACAGTATCATTCCTTCATCAGCAGCAATGAAGGAATTATAAATATGGAAAGAACAGACAACAGATTGTTAATCTAAGACTTTTATTTTGGCATGGGATATTTCATCAACTATGTTGTAGAATCAACAACAATCCAAACAAAACAGCTGTAAGGAACCATATGTCATGCTCTTCTGATGTCTCCACAACAGAAATACAAGCGCTTGTTCTTTATTATGCATAAATTAGAACTACAAGATGCAGTTTAATGGGACAATAATCATCTAAACTCACTTCTATCCTCCAGGAAGCAGAGGAAACAAAGCACATTTGCTGATGTATATTTATCACTAAGGGAACTTCTACACAAGTTATATACACGAGTTGTACATAAGTTATAAGAAACCAATAATATGAAACCCTCTTTCTCAAAAACGGGAAAATAAAAAAGGCAAACATTTTTATTTTCAGGCCACTAAAGCGGATCAAACCCTGCAGGGGGGGAAGAGGAGATCTTCCTCCTATTGGCTGGAGGACAGGATGTTGTCGTGAGTAGCAAACAGGGAGTAGAAAAGAAGGAAGCACTACATGAACATGTCGTCATACCCCGGGGGGGGCATGTGGTCCGGGTCCGGCCTGGAAAACAAACATGCTTTTTTTTTTAGATCAGAGTTACCCAAATTGGGAGTTTTTTTTGTAACAGCAGCATGCTAACAAGGCCTTGAACGTGAGTCATCAAAACTGTGATTTTCTATCTTCTCCACAACTGTCCCATTACACATCACTTTTAAGTAGCTGCCACTCAAATAACATCCACAGAGACTCTCATCTGCCAGGCTTTTTACCAGAACAAGAAATATATAGCACAAAAGCCCAGTATAAGCTAGCTTACTCGTGTTTTAGGTCTTTTCAAACAAGGCTCCTAACGTTTTCGGGGTGGCCCACAATAGTTAATCTTTTTTTTTACATAATCTTAGACCAACTGCTGCCATTTTTCTTTAAATACAAACTTTCACAGAAACAAGAAGTTTGGCAGCTGAATTCTTTTTTGCAATATGCACAAAAAGATGCAAGCGCTGTGAACATTTTTAAATGAGAATTGAAAACGTATTTATCCTGCATTGGCTTCAACTATAACGCTTCTTTATTTACATATTTTATTTGCATATACCATGGATATTCTGTTGTAAAGTTTATTAATGAAACTAAGGCTGGAACTAATGATGATATTATTGTCCTGGCAAATACACTGAATTGCGAAAAAAATGTATTATCTCTTCTCTCTCCTTTCAGTATCATTCAGCTTGGAGATTCTTATCTTGAGCCAGCAGAGGGGGTTACTTTGACCAAAATAGACACATTTATAAGAGTGTCGTGTGTGTTGTGTGTGTGTGCGCGATGTGTGCTGTGTGCTGTGTAGTGTGTGCTGTGTGTGTGTGTGTGTGTGTGTGTGTGTGTGTGTGTGTGTGTGTGTGTGTGTGTGTGTGTGTGTGTGTGTGTTTTACCCTGGTCTGGGTCGTCCAACTGGTCCAAACGGGTCGAAGCGAGCCCCCTGGGGAACAGCTCCAGGAGGCAGGATGTCTGGTATTCCACTTGATGGGTCAAAACCAGAGCGAGGATACCCCGACCGCAGGGGGTCCAGGATCATCCCGCCACCACCACGGGACCTGGGGGGGGGGAGATGAGGAGGATATGTGTCATTTATCTTTTCTTTCATACACTTCTTCCCTTAGTTTAAGTTTAATGAGTGTTTTATAGTTTGAACTGAAAACTGCTTTAGTACAAACCAGTTAAACATTGTGGAGAGACTGGCCATTTGATTTGATAAAGGGCCAAAACTTCTAATTACACAAGAGATGAAACACAACAATTTATAGGTCTGATGATAAAAACAGAGGACAAGGGCCACGCTCCATTTGATGCTATCAAAATATGCCAAATGTTGCCATAGTAACTTACTATGAAAAGTTTGGAATCAGCTGGTTTTTCTTCTTTACACCAATTATACACCGTATGTATTACATTTGAAATAGTTTTGGATCTAAAAGAAGAATAATTCAAAGATTACATCTTCCATTTAGATTTGATTATACAGAAAGATTAAGGTTGGATTTGGAATTTGTTTTCCAGGGCCACAAAAGTGTAAAACGCCCTTATTCATTATTTAACCACAACACTGCAACTGAACTTTAAATATTTAGTTTTTCAGATTGCTGGGGTTTGATTGAAGAGGTTGAGCTGGTGTTCCCTGATCCGTTTCAACAGTGCTAACCCAGGCCTAACTTCATTATATTGTGAATCTAAACAAATGACTTTGAAACAGCAACACATTGGCGGTTGATTCCAGGTTGTTAAAGGCATTGTTGTGCCCCTGACACTCAAACCTGTTCCTTATTAAATCTGCAAAGATATTGTTGCTAAGCTTCCAGTTTCTTTAACAAACGTCTGTGAATTATTCTCTTCTTTTGGGTCCTTCTAACCTTTTAATTGACATCGTTCAGAGCATGTTCTCAAAATACAAAATAAAATATGTTTGTAAAGAGGGCTTTCTACAACCTGAAGCATGAAAGACAATGAAGAAAATATATAAAAAAGTCCTCTCAGACATCTAACTGTACCCAATCAAGCTGTTGTGGCATATGCCTGAACAGTATGTATACAAGTTGTTTTCTTTAAAGAGGCCCTGTTGTGCTTTATGCTCTGCTTTTTTACGCTTCCATTGGACTTCTTTGTTTGATTCCTGAACACAGTGACATCACTATGTAACACTCGCGCTTCTATTGGCTAGCACTCCCACATCTTTATAGGCTAAGGGGCAGCCAGCTAACCAATCAGAGCAGACTGGGCTCTTGTTTCAGACAGAGGGTGAAAAGAGGTGCTGCAGCACAGGCAGTATGAGGAGAATAAAGAGCTTTTTGAACATTATAGCATGGAGACATGTCCCAGGAGAGACACTACATACTGATATGAACCTGAAAATGTGCACAATAGGCCCCTTTACATCTACTAATTGTAATAAAGTGAATAAATATCTCTGCAAAAAGTCAAACCCTGACCGTCATTGCTTTAAAAAGCAACCTATTGTAGGATAATACAGGGAAGCACATGTAAGGCAGTAAAGTGATGTCATTCTCATGTTCAGGCTACACACAGACTGCTCTGGTTTACTATTTCTAATGTTTGTGGTTCACGTTGAGCTGGCAGAGGGAGTCTGGGCCAGCGCCAGTAATCCTGTGTGGAGGGACTGTTCATCCCTAAAATCCCAGATTATAACAAAAAAAAAACACTTTTATGCTTTTATATATATATATATATATATCTGCAAAATGATTTCCATAAAAATTATTTGTAGGGATTAATTATGAGAGACTCACCCGAAGGGATCCAGATCTGCTCCTCCAACGGAGAACGGAGGGACCATGGGGTCCCGCCTGGAAAATGCATTAGATTATTAATGAATCACAATATCTGCTGTCAATTGTGAGCAACATCTTCTTGGAGTAAACAAGAATTAAGTGCACTTCAATAGGGTTTTAAATATTTAATATGTCCCTAGATGTTCAGATAAGATGTTAATCAAACTGCATCTGATTTCAGATCACATTGGAGCGTATTGATAAATGTACATAAATGTATATATATATATATATA